AGAATGAAGAACGGTGGAGAGTCGAACGCGCTGAAGACGGAACCATGTTCTGCACCGCGGGAGATTTCAAGCTGGAAGTGCCGTTCAGCGAGCCGGATCCCGGCAGCGGCGGACATTCCACCGGCCCACTGCCCAAGGCAGACCGGGTCAACGTCGGCATCCGCGCCTCGGACATTATCCTGGCAGAATCCGAGCCAACCGGGACATCGGCGCGGAACCGCCTACCGGGTACAGTCACCGCTGTAGAACCGCGCCCCCCCGGTTACACCGTGACGTTGGATTGCGGCCAGACCTTCAGTGCCACATCACCCGGGCATCGCTGACGGAAATGGATGTCACGCCGGGAAGGCGCATGTGGGCGGTCTTCAAAGCATCGTCCTGTTTCCTGGTCGAATCCAACCGTTGACGCTGGATAATCGGTCAAAGTTTGACCGGCCCATTCCAAAGAACCTGTTGTTTGGACAGAAAATTGGTGGTCCAGGATTCGTGCTTGCCGCGGGCTAGCCAGCCGGTTTTTGTCATCGCCGGTATTCGTAACCCTTTAGAGTAACTTCGACCGATTACAGATAGAAACCAGAGTTTATATCCGGCCACGTTCGATGGTTTCATATACTATGGTTGCATATATAGGTTCTCTATGTATAATATCAGCCTTAAGGCGCAGGTCAGGTTATCCCAAGCACCTTTGCCCGCCTGGTGGCAAGATTCTCTTCAGGCGCTGGTTGCCCGACTGAGCCATGTCAATTCCGCGTTGGATCCCTGAGGAGGTCAGCCTGTGGCGCTATCTGACAGGACTTTGATCTGTGTGGAGTGTGGTGGTGAGTTTATTTTTACCGCGGGCGAGCAAGAATTCTTCAACGCCCGGGGATTTTCCAACGAACCGAAACGATGCCGGAGCTGTCGAGCGGTTCGACGCACCGAGCAGCGGGGCGGATCGTTCTCGGACCAACCGCGGGAAATGTACCCAATTGTCTGCGCCGATTGCGGCGCCGACGCCATGGTCCCCTTCAGGCCTCGCGGAGACCGTCCGGTATACTGCAGCGACTGTTTCAGCAAGACCCGGACGGAGCCGTCCGAGTTCTGACACCAGCCCATCGCGTAAGACGATATGGGGGCCGTAGTCCAGGCGGCCCCCGGAAACGCTGAATCCTCGAACGCCTCAGGTATTATCCCCATTTGGCTGCCCACCATCCGGTCAACGCCCCAGATTTCATTCGCCTCACTCCCGGCGGGCTGTTTTGCGCCGTTTTCGGTGATAAATGTCCGCGCATTTGTCCTGACCGCCAACACCGACGGACCGGCGCTTCTTCACCATGAATTTTAAGGACTTGCGAGAGTTTATCTCCTTCCTGGAGCAGCGAGGGGAATTGCTCCGGATTACCACCGAGGTTAGCTGGGACCTTGAGATTGCCGAGATTGCCGACCGCCTGGTGAAACGCGGCGGACCGGCCTTGTTGTTTCAGAACGTGAAGGGCTACGACACTCCCCGGTTTTGATCAACATTTTCTCCTCGGACAAGCGGATGGCATGGGCGCTCGGCGTGGAGCAGATGGATGAGGTGGTGGAACGGATTCACGGCCTCCTGGGACTGATGCACGGCCCGCCCCAGGGCCTGATCAACCGGGTACGGACTTGGGCAATTGGTGCATTGGCCGGGTATCAACCCAAGACGGTAAGCCGCGCGCCCTGCCAGGAAGTTGTGCTGGCGGGTGAAGACGTAGACCTTTTTAAGTTTCCAATTTTGAAATGCTGGCCGGAGGATGGAGGGAGATACATCACCCTTCCCCTGGTCATCACCAAAGACCCACGAACCGGTGTCCAGAATTACGGCACCTACCGCCTCCAGGTTTTCGACCGGAACACCACCGCGCTGCACTGGCAGACCCACAAAGTCGGCGCAGCACTACCGGGCAAGCGGAGGCTTGCAGCAGGAGCGGATGCCCGTAGCGGTAGCCTTGGGAGGTGACCCGGCCACCATCTGGACCGGCTCTGCTCCCATTCCTCCCGACATGGACGAAATGGCGGTAGCCGGATTCATTCGAGAAGAGGCGGTCGAGTTGGTCAAAGCCAAGACCTGCGACCTGCTGGTGCCGGCCCACGCCGAAATCGTGCTCGAAGGTTATGTAATCCCCGGAGACGAACGCCCGGAGGGCCCTTTCGGAGACCACACGGGATATTATTCGGCGGCGGAGCCCTACCCGGTGTTCCACGTTACCGCCATCACCACCGCCGGGACCCCATATACCCCACGATAATCGTGGGTAGGCCTCCATCGGAAGACTTCTGGATGGGCAAGTCACGGAACGCCATTTCTCCTGCCGTTGATCAGGTGTTCATGCGGAAGTGTGGACATTCAACATGCCGGCGGAGGATGCGTTTCACAATCATGCTGATGGTCGGTGTGAAGAAAGATGTACCACGGTCAGCGCGCAAATGTGATCTCGTGGGGACTATGGGGATTGGGCCTGATGAGTCTCACCAAGACCATCATGGCCGTGGACCATTTCGTGGACGTGCAAAACGTGTCCGAGGTTGTCTGGAGGGTCACCGCAACATTGATCCGGCTAGCGACGTTTTCTTCACGACCGGGCCGCTGGACGACCTGGACCATGCATCGCCAACCCCCAAATTCGGCAGCAAGATGGGCATCGATGCAACGGAAAAATCTGTCCTGGAAGGCCGCCAGCGGGAATGGCCCCCGGAAATCGTAATGAGCCCGGACATAAAGGCCCTGGTTGACTCCAAGTGGAGCGAGTACGGTCTTGGCGGTTAGCGGCGCAGACCAACCGCCCGGAGCCCTGCCGGGGCCCGCCGGTGTTGTTATCGGCAAAGTCCCCCTTTACCTGAGCTTCGTTCGTATCCACGAAGCCCTGTTTGCCCTGCCTTTCGCTTACATTGGGATGATCCTGGCGGCTGCGGTTGGGCCCGGCTGGCACGATTTCATCTGGATCAACCTGGCAATGGCCGGCGCACGAACTCTTCGGAATGGCCACCAACCGGCTGGTGCACCGGCGTGAAGACTCCGTTAACCCCAGGACCCTGAATCGTCACCTGCCAATGGGGTTGATCAAGCCCTGGGAAGTGGGGCTTATGATGGCCGTGTCCCCCAAAAAACCCGGGGGTGACTGTCTACTAGCTCCCAATTGAACACGCTGGCCCTGGTCCTGTCGCCGGTGGCCGCCGCTTACGTGGTGGTGGATTCTCTGGCGACGCTCTAGCGTCAGAGAGAACTCTCACACCTCGTACACACACTCGGAGAGCGGGAGTCTACTTAACGTTCGCTTCTGATCCGGCGTCGTGGCAAAGGTACGGGAAACCGTTCTCAACTCGCAACGGATCTATGCGGGGCCCTCGCTTACCCAGAACTCCACCGGACCGCGAGTATCCCGCCCTCCCTTCCACGCGAATGCGGCGCCCCTTACAGCGTGCCAGATCACTTGCAGGGGATCGAGCATACCACGTGACCCCTCGCCTTGCCCGACCTACCCGCTCATCAGTAGACATAGGCTGCAGGGGGACAGAGGAAGCGCAGAGACGGAGGACGGAAATTAATGCGCCTCTGGGCAATTGGATCGAGTCCACGGGTAAGGCTGGACATTCCCCCGGTATTGCTGTCGCTGGCGGTTGCTGCTTGGGCCGTTTGACACCATCTACGGTTGCGCCGATATCGACTTCGACCGGACCCAGAACGTCCACTCAATCGCCAAACGTTTCGGCATCGGAGCCGCCCTGGTCACGGCCAAAGCAGCGCATTTTATTGCCGCGGCATCTTTGCTGGCCCTGGGAATCTGGCTGGATATGGGGGTCTATTATTTCGTCGGTTGCGAGTCCATGCCACCTCGCTTCTTTGATATACGAGAATAGCCTGGTGACTCCGGCTAACCTCTCAAAGCTCAACTCGCCTTTCTTCAGGTACAACAGCGTCATCTCATGTATGCCTGGTCTGCACCGCGCCTGGACCTCATCTATTTTGATCCCCAATTGCAGCGCACCGGTGAGCAAGTTCTGACACACTATCCCATCCCAACCAACAATCCGATTCCAAACAAACGAATCTACTCGCTTTGCTGACCGGAATCAACAAAACATTCAACCCGGCAGTGGTAGGCCCGGTGGTTGTGGGCATTTCGGGCGCCAGCGGGTCCTTGTTGGCCCAGAGAACCGTTGACGAGCTGCTGCGGCGTGACGCCCCGACGGCGTTGGTGTTTTTGCCACCAACAGCGCCCAAGTGGCGTGTGGCAAGGAAAGAGAGAGGCGATCCTACAACGAGTCCCTGGTGGTTTGGCAGGAACATCCGGGATTCACCTTTTACCAAAACACCAACTTGCGGGCGCCCATCGCCAGCGGCACCTACCCCACGGCGCATGGTGCTGGCGCCGGCCAGCATGAACAGCATCGGCGCGCTGGCCAACGGCCTATCGAGTAACCTGCTGCTGCGAGCAGCGGATGTTTGCTTGAAGGAGAGACGTCCCCTGGTGATAGTGCCCCGGGAAAGCCCACTCCACAGCATTCACCTGGAGAGGGAAGGTTGCTAACGCCTGAGCGCATGCGTCATCATTCGGAGCCGGCTTTTATCTGAAGCCCCAAAGTGTGGAAGACGTGTCGATTTCGTGGTCGGCCGCATCATGGTGGCCCTGGGGTTGGACCAAGCGTTGCCCGGAGGCATGCACAATAAAGCGGGGAGATCTCGGCTAGAGGGGCGACACAACTACTCTGGAGAACACCCGGCGCAGCTTCCAATCGTGGATCAGATCGTGCCGACGAAATCTGTCCGACAGTCTCGGCTGAAGCCGAGGTCACACGCGCAAGGAGAGGCCAGCAGGCGGTACGTGGCCGACCTTTTCTCCGGCATCGCAGGGCGCTACGACCTGATGAACGACCTGATGACCGGTGGGCAGCACCGGCGTTGGAAGAATGAAACGGCCCGCCTTGCGACGAAAGACCTGCCGTCGATCCTGCCCCGGCTCGTCTTGGACGTGGCAACGGCACCGGCGACCTTGCCCTGACCACGGGAAAACTACCCGGGAGTGAACCCCGGTTGGGGGTTTTCGGTGTGGACAGTGCTGCCGGAATGATCGCATGGCCCGCATGCCAAGACAATTGCCAAGGGGCTCTCCGGGGCCAAGGGTCTCTCCGGGAAAATTGAGTTTGCCGTGGGGGATGCGCTTGCCCTACCCTTCCCGGATGGCGCTTTTGCCAGCTGCATTGCGGGGTTCAGCCTTCGAAACATGCCAGGGACCGGTGGAACAGATGGGATTCAAAGCGCACTGGCCGAAATGGCCCGGGTGGTGCTGCCAGGCGGCCGGGTGGTCACACTGGAGCTTACTCCAATGTCCAAAACCCTTGGCGCAGGTTTGATCCAGTTTAACTTTCACCGCGTGGTCCCCTGGCTGGGGGCCACAGTGTGGCCTGTCAAACCGCGCTGCCTACACCTACCTGCCCCAATCGGTCGCCAATTTCCCTAACGCGGGGCCGGTTGTGCATTGTTCCGGGCGTCGGGTTTGATTCGGTATGGATTCAAGACTATGAGGCTCGGGCAGTCCTGCCGCATCGGGGAGCAAGCCAGCCCGACTGACCGATCCCGGGATAGACGGTTCCCGCGGGGGTTGCCGGAATACGCTGGGGCGTTCAACCGTTTTCCACCGCAGGAATTTTCTTGTTACGCTATATTGCGGGGAGTACAATGGATTTCGCCATCCAGTACCCGAACCGGCTCACGAGTCTACCCGGCACCAGGTGCATACTTGGACGAGATTTTTGACAAACTAGGTCCCATCGTCAAGCGCTACGAGGAGATCGAATCCACAATGGCGCTCCCTGAAGTCGCCACCGACTTCGAACGGGTTCAAACGCTGGCAAAAGAACGCGCCGGCCTGGAAGAGCTCGTGGGGATATCCCGCCGATGGCAACAATTGGCCGAGGAGCGCGGGGACCTGGAATCCATGCTCCGGGCGGAAAACGACCCCGAGTTGGCGGCAATGGCCAGGGAAGAACTGGAAGAAGTCGACACGAAAATAGAGCAGTTGGGGCGAGCCCTGAGGGTCGCGTTGGTGCCCAAGAATCCCAACGATGAACGAGACGTAATCGTCGAAGTCAGGTCGGGGACCGGCGGAGACGAAGCCAGCCTTTTCGCCGCCGACCTCTACCGGGCCTACTCGCGTTATGCCCAGTTGCACAACTGGAAAATCGACATCATGGACTCGTCGGCATCTCCCCTGGGTGGTTTCAACAAGATGGTATTCGGGGTGCAAGGCAAGGGCGCCTACAGCCGCCTCAAGTACGAGCGGGGAGTCCACCGGGTGCAGCGGATACCTGAAACCGAGACCCAGGGGCGGATCCACACCTCCACGGCTACCGTGGCCGTGCTGCCGCAGGTCGACGAAGTTGAGATCAAAATCGACCCGGATACCATCCGGATCGACATTTTTCACGCCGGCGGTCACGGCGGGCAGAACGTAAACAAAGTAGCCACTGCGGTCCGGATCGTGCATGAACCCTCCGGGTTGACTGTTACCTGCCAGGACGAACGTTCCCAGTACAAGAACAAATCGAAAGCAATGGCCATGTTGCGGGCCCGCCTGTTTGACGCCGAAGAGGAACGCAAGTCACAGGAGATGTCCCAAACCCGCCGCTCGCAGGTGGGGACCGCCGAGAGGTCCGAGAAGATTCGCACCTACAACTACCCTCAGGACCGCATCACCGACCACCGGATAAACTCCAGCTTCCACGACATTCCCAAGGTCATGGACGGGTTTCTGGACGACATTATCGACGCCCTGTCCACCTGGGAAGAGGAACAAGCCCTTGGGGAGGCCGGAGCTTCCTGACTCCGGAGCGACGACTGTTCATGCCGTCCTTGAGGGAGGCCCTCCAACAAACCCACCAAATACTGGAAGCATCCGGAATTCCCGATGCCCGGCTGGAAGCCGAGGTGATGGTGATGAACGTGATGCGGATGCCCCGCCAGGACATCTTCGCGCAGCAGGAACTGGCGGTTTCTTCTCAACAGCAAGAAACGCTATCCCAGGTAATTGACCGGCGCAAACAGCGCGAACCCCTGGCTTACATCCTCGGCTACAAAGAGTTCTACGGCGTAAACCTACTGGTCACTCCCGACGTTTTAATCCCCCGCCCGGAAACCGAAACCCTGGTGGAACATGCTTTGTTCATGTCCCTGATGGGCATGGAGGTGGCTCACCTCGTCATAGCCGACGTTGGGACCGGGACCGGGGCCATCGCCCTGAACCTGGCGATTCACCTGCCGGCGGCCCGGATTTACGCAACCGACTCCAGCGAAAAAGCCCTGATGGTGGCCAACTACAATATTCGCCGCCACAATGTGGCCGACCGGGTAACACTGTGCCACGGCGATCTCATGGAGCCATTGCCGGAACCAGTGGACCTGATCGTGGCCAACCTGCCTTATATTCCCACCGCCCGCATACCCACGCTTCAGCCCGAAATCCAATGGGAACCGGCGGCTGCCCTGGACGGCGGAGAACAGGGCATGGACCAAATCACCCGTCTCATCGCCCAGGCGTCGGAAAGGCTAAACCCACAGGGGTCGATTCTGCTGGAGATGGACCCGGAGCAAGTCCCGCTGGCCGAGGAACTGGCCCGCCAGTATTTTCCAGAGGCCGAAACGGGGGTGGAGCGGGACTTGGCCGGCTTGGACCGGGTGTTAACCATCAGCCGGGGTGTAGCGGAAGAGGCGTAGGACGCCCGAAGGCGGCGGTTGGCGCTGGATCACATGCTGCGCGGCGACGGGGATTTACAATCACCCGCCGGTCTCCGACCTTTGAGGGCTAAGAAACTATCTCAAAACCCAAATTTATGGGCCCTTGGGGGATGGGGTTACGTTGGGGGATTCATCCCCCAAACCCCTGATCCAACTATCTCAAGACTGGATGATGGCCGCTTCAAGTTTTGAGATAGTTTCTAAAGGCCGGTAATCTCCAGCGTAGATACATCGCCGGATTCCAGGTCCGCAATCCTAATCGCGTGGTTATTGGTGTCGGCGATATACAGCTTGCCGTGGGCTACGCTCAGGCCGCAAGGCTCGGAAAACTGGGCCTGATTTCCCGGCCCATCCTCGAAACCGGCACGGCCGGTCCCCAGGAACGTAAACGAACTGCGAGTCTGCGGCAGGACTTTCTTGACTTTGTGATTGTAGGTATCGGCCACCAACAGGCCGCCGTCATGGTAGGCGATGCCGATGGGGTGTTGCAGACGGACGTTGTGGTCGGTCCCGTCATGGTCGCCAAACACGAACAGGTCCAGCCCCACGATGGTCTGCACCCGGCCCGTTGGCGTGAGGTCGGCGGAGCGGACCGAGCTAGTCTCGCTGTCGGCGAAGTACAACTTCCCCCCGCCTGCGGTGATCCCACTCGGCTGAGCCAGGGTGGCCGAACCCATAGGGCCATCCGAAATCGATTCCGCGCCGCTGCCGGCGTACGGGCCGATCTCGTTGTCATCCAGGCTCATGGACCACAGTTGGTGAGACCCAGCCATGGCAATGTATAACCGGCCGTCATCGTGAACCAGGTCCCAAGGGGAGTTCAAGGCGATGGTCAGCCCGGGCCCGCGGCCTTCCCGCATGTGCCCCTGCTCGCCGGTGCCGGCAATGGTTACAACCCGGCCTGATGACAGGTCCACCTGCCGCAATGCGTGGTTTTCAGCGTCCGCGACGTAAAGAGAATCGCCCGCAAGGGCCATCCCCTGTGGATGATTGAAGGCGGCCGATTCTGCAGCGCCGTCGGCCAGGCTTTCCTCGCCTGAGCCGATGATTTGCTGCACCCGACCGTCCAACCCGGTCACCAAGATCCGGTTATGGTTGGTGTCGGCTATGAAGAGGCGGTTTGAGGCGGCATCGGCCAGGATTTTACCGGGGAAGGAAAGGCTGCGGGCGGGTTCCGGGTCAGGACCGCCGGGCGGGGGTGAGCGCTTCAGCAAACCCTTGGCGTCGAAATCAGCGACCATCCGGCCCATCAGATTCTCGAAGGAGTCGTAGTCCAACTCCCCTTCGTGTTTACCGATGAGCTTGCCTTCCGGGTCGACGAACCAAAGGGTGGGCCACGCCCGGAAATTATAGGCTCGGGCCACCGTCATATCCACGTCGTTGATCACCGGGTGGCCCAAGTCGAAGCGTCTGACCGCGTTTTGAAGGTTAACCGTTTCCTTCTCATTGGGGAACTTGGCGGCGTGGACGCCCACCACGACCAGCTCGTTCCGGAACTTGTTCTCCAGTTTCCGCAACTGCGGAAATATGTGAACGCAGTTAATTCAACAGTAGGTCCAGAAATCCAGGATCACCACCTTCCCTGCCAAGTCTTTCATGGAGAGCGGGCGTTCGGTGTTTACCCACTCCAGGCCAGCGGGGAATTCGGGGGCGGCGGTGGTTCCGGAAAAGGACTGTTCTGCCATAGCTGCTACTAACTGGCTCCGTAGACCCCGGAGATGCTGAGTTCTTTATGCAGGTCGTTGATCGTCTGCGCCCGGGACCGCTGAGGCACCCGTTGCCGCATGCCGATCGGCTCGTTCTCCACTTCGGGGACCATCTTCATGGAAACAAAGACAGGCCCGGTTTCCTTCATGATGGCCTCAATGCTGTTGGCGAAGTCTTCAAGGTTATCGAAGTGGTGGGCCGAAGCGTAGCCTGCCTCTTTGGCCATCCCGGAGTAGTTAATCTCCTGGGAGTTGGGGACCGGCTGGCCGCCGGTGGTGGCGTAGCATTCGTTGTCCATGAGGAAGTGGACGAAATTCTTGGGCTTGGTCCCGGCCACCGTAGCCAGGGAGCCCAGGTTCATCAGCAAAGCCCCCTCGGAATCGAAAAGGCAAACCTTTTCGTCGGGGAGGCCCAGGGCCAATCCCAAGCCGGTGGACGTGGTTTGCCCCATGGCTCCGCCAAGGGACATGTCCCGAGGCTCGTTTTGGGTGAACTCCCGCCAGTGGCGGCCTGCGGTGCCCGTGGGTATCACAATGGCATCGCCCCGGTGTTGGGCGAACGCCTGAAACATGTCAGAAGCGCTGAACATTAGTCGACTCCTATTATTCGAAATTGGGCTTCAAAATTAACGACAATTAACGGTTGAACCCGTGGTACTCGTCTCCAACGAGGATACAGACGGGACGTTTGGTTGCCCTGGCCTCGTCGAAGGCCAGGGATATTCGAGTGCCGTCTTCGTTTGATTCCACGAGGAAGTAGTTGATGCGGTAGGCGTTCAGGAAAGGCTCAGTGTACCGGGCGACCGAGTCTGAGATGACTCCGTGCCGGGTCCAGCCCCGGTAGCCGACAACCATCACCAGGGGGAATCCCGCATCCAGGGCCATACCCCGGATGGAATCGCCGGATTCCATCATGCCCGTGTTCTGGATCAGGCACACCGGCACCTGGCCGCCTATGGTGAGACCCAAGGCGACCGAGAAAGTCTCTCCCTCACGGGCGGTGGGTATGACGGTGAGCCAGTCTTGTTCCTTCATCAACTCATAGAGATAGTTGGTTTCGCTATCCGGTATGGTAACCACGTGGGTTACGCCATTCTTTTTGAACTCTTCGATCAGGGTCTCCGGCCTGAGAATCGCTGCCTGTTGCTCAACCATTGGCTGCTCCTTCGAAAATAATCCACCGAATAAAACGAGGCCCAAGCGGCAATTCCTGGTGCAGCGAGACCGCCTCAGCAGGACTACCGGGCCGGATTGTCAGACACATTATAGTAACCAGCGTCCCAAGGGTCAATTTGTGGCGCGTCCGAGGAGTTGTGTTTGGGGTTGGGGGCGGGGGCGTTTTCACCGCCGAGGTCGCGGAGGGCGCAGAGTTTTTTGGGGGGAATGGCCGCGGCGCCCCTGGGTGGGGGCGTCACGGTATTATCACAGTAGTATACGGTCATATTGGGATGACGCCCCAGCTATAGCCTTCGACCGAGCCGCCGTAGGCCCGGACCCGGCGTCCTTCCTTGATGAGTTCGACCCACCAGGGTTTCTCCGTTGAATCCGGCGGGTCGGTGCCCAAGTCCGGCGGCGACCGGTCCTCCGGGTACTCTTCCTCCGCGGACGGGTCCGATGAGGTGTACAGGTGTCGATCTTTAATGGGTAGCGCGGGGCCGTCGTGGGGCCGGGGCCGGAGGGCGGGATAGTCACCGGCCAGGGCGGCCTGCTCCCGGTGGTATTGGGCGGCGGCCCAAGCGGCAACCCTGGCGGCCTGCTCGGAGCCGTAGCAACGCAGCAGGGCCTTGTAGCCGTAGATATCTTCGGGTTGGGGGGCGTCGGCGGGGACCTTTATCAAGTGGTCGCAGCCGTTGGGGTCCTGGTTGGTGGCCTTGGCAATTTGGCGGGCATCGTAGCGGAACTCGTAGAGCGCTTTGTGGACTGCGCTGGTTGCCTCTTTACCGCCGAGGACGTAGTGCCGGGCGTAGGCGCCATCGCAGTCGAAGTAGTAGTCCTCGTCATCATAAGAGTCGAAGTTAAAGGGGCCGGGATCCATTTCGTAGCGGTTATAGTCCGCGGGGTAGGCGGCATAGCGGCCCCGCAAGGCGTCGATCCAAGCACCGGGTGACTTGGTGGTTTTTTCAGCCGGGGCGGATTGCTCCGGGGCTGGTTCCTCGGCGGCCGAAGCACCGGCGTCGGAAGGGTTCGGGTTGTCGAAGCCGCGGCGCAGGAGTTCCTTGGCGGCGGACAGGCGGTGGTGGGGCTTGAAGTCGGGCAGGTTGCCCTGCATGACGTCGACCAGGAAGCGGACGTGGTGCGGCCGTTGTCGGTCTCTTCCCGGATGATGGCGGCCAGTTCCTGGTGGAGGGGGACGGTTTTCACCGCCGAGAGCGCGAGGGCGCGGAGGTTTTCGGGTTGGGGCGGCGGGGTGTTGGCGTCGATGAAGGTTTGGGCCTGGTGGAAGCCGAGGTTGCAGGAGTTGACGGGCGGCGTCGAGTTGGTGGCAGGGCTTGGATTGTTCGAGGAGGCCCTGCATGACGTCTATGAGGAAGCGGACTATTAGGCGGCCGTCTTCGGTCTCCTCGCGGACGATGTCGGCGAGGGAGGGCGTGGGGGCTTCCGGGTTGTCGGCCTGGTTGTCTGTGTGAGAGAACATTAGTTCGATGATAGGGAGAGTGCTTCCGGGGGTGTCAAGGGGCTGGTGGACAGCTGGGTTCGGTTTCAACGCAGAGGGCGCAAAGGGCGCGGAGGTTTTTTGATGGGGAGGTGGCTGGCTATGGTGGTGAGAGGTGTACGGTTTGGCTCAGTGTGCCTTGAGCGGCTGGTTCCCAGGGGTTATGCTAGTGGAAATTCCGCGGTTAGGAGGTTGAAGCATGACGACGGCCGACCGTTTGTCCATGCCCCTTGGAGAGAGTATTTTCACGCAGCGGGCGATCCGCCGGTTCAAGCCCGACCCGATCCCAGAGGAGGACCTCAGGGACATCCTGGAAGCGGCCATCAGGGCCCCCAACGGTGGGAACAGCCAACCCTGGCACTTCCTGGTGGTTAGGGACGAGGGGCTAAGGACCGAGTTGGGGGAGTTGTACCAAGAGGCCTGGTGGGCCAAGCGCAAGGACGAGGGCATCAATGGACCTGAAGACATACCGCCGGGCAAGAGCAACCGCCGCTCGGCCATGCGCCTTTCCGGCGAGTTTGCCCACGCGCCGGTCGTGGTGATGCTTTGCTCTACGTCTCGAGGCAACACCGGTTCGGTGATTCCCGCCGCCCAAAACCTGCTGCTGGCGGCGCGTGCGATGGGAGTTGGCGGACCATCACGACGTTGCACGCCCAGGTGGACGAGCGAGCCCACCGGTTGTTTGGAATTCCGGAGGACGTCCAGATCGTCTACTGCCTGCCGCTGGGATATCCGAGGGGCACTTTTGGTCCGGCGCAACGCAAGGCGCTGAATGAGGTTTGTTCCTACGATCGGTGGGGGACTGGTATCGATTAACCGGATGGGGTGTTTTCACCGCAGGGGCGCAGAGAACGCGGAGTTTTTTATTTAGGTCCATTTTACCCAAAAATCTCGGCGTCATCGGCGACCTCGGCGGTGAAATGAGCCTTGGGTTGCCGCTGCAGGGAGAATGACGCGGGGTGGGGGCCGGTAGGAACGTGGTTTAATTCTTGATGAGCATTCCGGGTTGGCACTTTCTGCAATAGCTGGTGATGCGCTGGTTGGCCGTTAGCTGGCTGATGGTGCCGCCGCACCGGGGGCAGTCTTCAGCCGCCCTTGTTGTGCACCTGGAGGAAATCGCGGATTTTGACGTGGATATCCTGGCCCATCCGGTCCCGCAGCACCTCCATGGCATCGGTGACCACGGTGGGCATTGTTTATGCAGTTCCTCGGTCTCCGATTGGGATAGAGACCTGGACTTTTCGGAAGGGGGAAATCCGGGCGGCGAACAGTATTTCATCGGAGTAGGCGTTGCCGATCCCGGAGACCAAAGCGCCGCGTGTGAGCACGCCCTTGATCTCGCCCATGGAAACGCTTGAGGCGGTCTTGAAACTCTTCCAGCGTAGTCCCGGATAGCACGTCCGGGCCTTGTTGTTCCAACCTGGGAATCTGGCCCCACTGTTCCCCGGACAGGTAATAGACTTTCCCCATTTGCCGGTCGTCCAAGTACCGCAGCTCCATGGCGTCGGGCAGCTTGAGGACGAGACAAGTTTTCTTCAAGACTCGGAGGCTTTCAGGGCAATATTGCAACGCCCCGGTGAGCATGGGGTCAACGACCAACCACCGGTCGTCCGACAGTTCAATCAACAGGAGCTTGCCCTGCCGCTGGATATCGATAAAACGGCGGCCGGGGACGTCTTGTTCGAAGTCACCCGCCAACGACCTCAGAACCGTGGGGCGCAGGACCCGTGCGCCGGCCACGGCGATACCCGAGATTCGCCGGTTCAGGAAGTCCTTGATTATTTCCAGATCAGGAGCTTCCGGCATGTCAGAACCTGGGACCTACCTTATGTGGCTTACCTTATGGGAGTTGCCGCGGAACTACACGAGAATGAAGGAACCAATCACCACCTGGAAAATGCCACGTTAGAAACTATCTCAAAACCAAAATTCGGAGGTCCTTGGGTGGCGGGGCTACGTTGGGGGATTCATCCCCCTAACCCCCGATCCAACTATCTCAAGACGGGATGATGGCCGTTTCAAGTTTTGAGATAGTTTCTTAGTCGTAGGAAACGGCGGCTCTCCGGAACGCGTCCGTTATGTCCGACGCCATGGATTCAATGTCGGCGCAGACGGCATAACGCAGATACGGGGAGAAATGAACGCCCACGAGACCCGTCTCGGTGATCATGCGGAAGTTGAAATCCTGTGAGCTTTCCACCGGTTGGCCGAAGGCGCGGGTGGGAGTCAGCCACAGCGTGAAAAATCCCGCTGACGGCTCGATGGCCAGCCTCATACCCTGACCGGTCATGATTTCAATTAAGGTCCACAACCGGGAGCGGTACATATCGCAATAGCGGGATATGCCTTCCTGGTCGGACTCAAAGGCTGCGGCCACTCCGGCGGCCATCGGGGCGACAAACCCGGTGTCGGTCTTTGCCCTTGACCTCTTTGATATCGCCGATGAAGTCGGGGGACCCCACCATGGCGCCAACGTGCCAACCGGTGCCGTTGCCAATGAGCTTGGCCGCCGTGAAGGCTTCGGCCCAGGAAAGGTCGGGGAAATCCAACGCGACCTGGGAGAGGGTGGCGCTTTCCGGTCCATGACTCAGGATGATATATGCGGCGTCGTTAAACAGCCGTATGTCCCGGTCGCTGCAGAATTGACAGACCTCCCTCAACCAATCTTCCTGGGCAATCTGGCCCGAAGGATTGTGAGGGTAGTTCATCATGACCAGGTTGGTGCCGTTGAGAATTGACCGGGTGGGGAATCTGAAGTCGTTTTCCGGGTTCAGCGACAGGGCGTAATGATCGGAACGAGGGTGATAGGCGCACCAGTCCGCCGGAATGGGGTAGCCCGGATCGGTAGTAGTGGCGACGGTTATCTCCTGGTCGGCGCACCCGCAGGCCAACGGCAGCATGCCCAAGATTGGCTTGATCCCCGGTATAGTCAGGTAATCCACGTCCCGTCTTCCAGAGAACGCGGCACGTGGGCCTGGATGAACTTGCGGGCGAAGCCGGGGACACCCTGGCTGTCGTTGTACTGGTAGCTGTGCATTGCCTCGTCTTCGCTCATAACCGCGATTGCCGCGGCTTCACGAGCGCTGAGGAGCGCTGGTCCTTTGGGCTCACCGATGGACAGGTCCAACAGTTTGACCCCGGCCTCCTCGGCTTCCCGCCGCTTGGCGCCCGGACCGCTTGCAGCACGTTGCTGCCGCCTGTGGGCAACCTGGATCCTCTCATTGATTGCTGCTTCCTCCAATGTCGTGTTGGGGACACCGATTGGGTGCGCGCTCCAGGGTGTGGAGCACGCTGCTAGTCTATCAGATGGCGTCAAATTGCACGGCTGGGGATGCAGGGCAAAGCCAGGGGTTTTCAGTTGCCTCCCGTCATTCTCGCCGCAGCGGGAATCCAGGGCCCTTTTCACCGCGGAGAGCACAGAGAGCGCGGAGCTTTTTATTTGGGTTCGTTTTGCCCAAACTTCTCGGCGGGCTCGGCGGTGAAAATGCCCCACGCCCGGCTTGTCTCCGTCAGCACAACCTTTATTACACACAAAAAGGGCTCTGGATTCCCGCTGCGGCGAGAAAGACGGGGTGGGGGATGGAACGGGCTCTTGTTTGCCGCTGCGGCAAGAAAAGACGGGAGATAGGCGGGGCGTAGAATTCGCCAGAAACGGCACAACCCCCGGCGTATGCCGGGGGTTGTGCTATGGGTGCTATTCCAGGTTGGAAAACTAGGCGGCGATGGCAATGCGCTCCATGCTCTGGGCCTGGCCTGCGCGATGGCCGTTGGAGGCGCCTCCCTGACGTAGGTGACGATCGTAGAAGGCCAGGACCTTTTCCCAACCGTCGGTGGCAGCGTGCTGGCGGTAGCCGGGGCGGTCAACCGCGAAGAAGCCGTGGCCGGCGCCTTCGTACATGTAGAACTCGTAGTCCTTCCCGTGGCGTTTGAGCTCTTCCTCGGTCTTGGCTACGTCCGCCGGGGTTGGCCTGCCGTCATCTTCCCCGAAGAGACCCAGCAAGGGACAACTGAGCCCCGAGGTGTAGTCAATAGGGGCCACGGGCATGGCGGGGGACATTCTCTTCCGGTGGAGCGGTAACTCCGCCGCCCCAACAGTCCACCGCGGCGTCGATTCCAGACAGGGTACACGCGGCCAGGTACACCTGGCGCCCGCCGGAGCAGAAGCCGATGATTCCCACTTTGCCGTTGCAGTAGGACAGGGTGCGCAGGTAGTTGATGGAAGCTGCACGTCACCCATGGTCCTTGCGTCGGGCATGCCTCGGCTTCCCGATGCTGGCGCTATTTGCGTCGGGAGTGGCCTGCCCCTGGCGGAAGTGCAGGTTGGGGGAGATGGTGGCGTAGCCGTGATAGGCCAGCTTGGCGGCCATGCCCTTGGTGGCGTCGTCCCAACCGGGCATGTGGTGAATCAGAACCACGCCCGGCGCCGGGCCGGAGCCCAGGGCCTGGCCAGATAGGCGTCGATGAGGTCGCCGTTGTGTCCGTTAATGTTGACGGTTTCGGCCATCAAACCTTGATAACCTGGCATTGCATCCTCCAATATTTTCTAATGGGTCTGGACCTTGCTCCCTCGGGCGTATCACCGGGGGGCTTGCGAAACACACTACTACCGGGCCCTATGGGTGTCAACTTGGGTGAGGGTGGTGCCAGGGCGATCGCATCTTAATCTTCGAGTCTATCCTCATCTACCAACACTTTCATCCTGAGCCTGTCGAAGGATGGCCTGTCCACTACTTCTGTTGGATAATTCCACCAGCCCATCCCAATCGCCCTTTATCAAGGCCTCCTTCTTGGCCCTGGACCATCCCTTAATCTGCCTTTCCCGATGGAAGGCTTCCTGCCTCGTAGAGAACTGGTCGCTGAACACCAACTCCACCGGGCGTCGCGACAGAGTGTAGCCTTCTATTGCTCCCCTTTCATGGGCTGCTAGCCGGTGTTCCAGGTCGTTGGTGTGCCCTACATAATAGGAGCCGTCGGAACAGCGGAGCATGTAAACGTAGTAAGCCAAAGTGGGGCCATTCTTGTCCATCCTTCGACGCCCGGATGATGGTTGCCCCCAGGGGGCTCAGTCCTTCGACAGGCTCAGGATGATGGGTAGGGTGCTCAGGATGATGGTTGGGGGGCAAGAATGAAATCAATTAAGATGCGATTGCCCTGGTGGGGGTGCGGCCCACCGGCCGGTATACCGAGACCCGCTAATTGGGAATCCCGATTGCCTAACCCGCCACCGCGCCCCTTTGAGGCGGGTGGCGAAAAAGTTGAGGGTGCGCGCCCAGGAATACTTCGAAGGCGTCACGGTTGTACCTGGGGCTGGTGTGGTCGCGAAGGCGTGGTCGGCGTTGGGGTAAGCGTAGAACTGATGGGGTTTGCCCAGGCGCGTGAGTTCATTGTCCAGGGTCATCATGTCCTCCGGGGAGGGGTTGGCGTCAATCTCCCCGAAGTGGAACATGATGGGGCAATTGATGCCATCAGCCAATTCAAACGGGGTCTGGTCTCCGCCGCGCGCCACCATGATGTTGCCGCCGTAGTATGGGGCAGACGCCGTGATGGCCGCGATAGATGCGGCTGCCAGCCAGCTAACGCGGCCGCCCATGCAGAACCCGGTAATCCCCGATGCGGTCCCCGACGACGGAGGGATGGGACTGCAGGAAACCCACCGCGGCGTTGACGTCGGCCACGACCTCGGGGTCAAGCAAGGACCCGGCTTTTTCCACGCCGGTCATCCTGGTATCGGTGATCCGGTGAAACAGGTCGGGGCACACCGCGGCGTAACCCTGCTCTGCCAAGCGGTCGCAAATCCTCTGCGGGAATTCATTGACGCCTCCGGCAGGGTGGATCACCACCACTCCCGGGAAGGTACCGTCGCCACTGGGCGCAGCAGCATACAGGTCCATGCTCTGTCCATCTACGTTGACGGTTTCCCAAAACGACGGCATAAGCGAGACCTCCTTGAGTGTTCTTTGGAAGGATATTCGGTGCGGGGAGACCGGCCGGTTTCCCCTAGGCGGTTACACGGCGTTCTCGGCGCGGAGGGCGGCCAAGGTGCTCTCGAACGCCGCCAGGGTTTGGTCGACGTCGTTCTCGTTATGGGTTGCCGACACCAGGAACGCGTCCCGGCCCATGATGTCGATTCCCCGGTTTTGCAGGCCCAGTTTCATTGCAGTTACGGCGGGGGAAGCCGTAGCCTGCTTGATCTGCCGGTGCGGCATGGTGCACAGTTCCCGACCGCAATCGCAATCGGCCAGCACCACGTGGATCATCGAGGCTATGCCGTGAGCGTGGCCGGCCACTTCCATCTTGCCGAAGATGTCATTGAGGCCCTGCTTCAACCGGGCAGCCATGGCATCGGCTCGTTGGTTGACCGGTTGTGAGGCGATCATTTCCAGGCAGACGCTCCCAGCCACTGCGCTGAGGGGATTGGCGTTGAAAGTCCCAGGGTGGTATACGCGCTGCCCGTTGTCCCACTCAGGGTCTCCCCGGTGGGCCATCATGTCGATGATTTCGGCGCGGCCGCCCACGCAGCCGCCGGGCAGACCGCCGGCCACGATTTTGGCCATGGTGGTGAGATCCGGCGCCACGCCATACCTTTCCTGGACGCCGCCCGGGGATGCCCGGAATCCGGTGACCACTTCATCAAAAATGAGCACAACCGAGTGCTGAGCGGTTAACTGCCGAAGGCCCTTCAGGAAGACGGGAACGTCGAAGGCAGTTGGCCGTAGTGGGCGCCGGTGGGTTCCAGGATAACCGCCGCAATGTCCGGGTCGCGGTTCAAGGCGTCTTCCACCCCAGCGTCGAAGGTCGCCGGAGGAACAATCACCATGCTTTCAAAGCTGGCTTCGGGGATGCCGGGGGAAGGGCGGTCCGAGCCGGCCATGGCGTAGTCGTGCCAGCCGTGGAAATGGTCCTGCAGCTTCATCACCTTGCGCTTCCCGGTGTAAGCCCGGGCCAGGCGCATCGCCATGAGGGTTGCTTCGGTCCCGGAACTGTGGAACCTAACCCGCTCGACGCTGGGGACCAACGCCATGACGGCCTTGGCCCAACGGACTTCCTCGTCGGTCGATGCGCCCAGGTGGGTGCCGCGGGTCACCTGCTCGGCCACCGCCGCCGCGACCGCCGGGTGGGAGTGCCCCAGGATCAATGCGCCGTGCCCCGATACGTAGTCGATGTACTCCTCTCCGTCCACGTCCCACTTGCGCGGGCCGGAGCCGTGGGTCATGTATAGAGGGAAGGGTTGGGCGTACCGAGTGTCGTGGGTTACGCCTCCGGGAAACAGGCCCACCGCCTCGGCAAACCGTTGGGCAGACCCGGGATGTTTGGCCAGGTATTCGTCTAAGATGGCGGTCATTTAGCCTCTCCAAGTTGGGACATGGCGGCATTTTACTACCTGGCTACTGTACGCGCCATTGATGTTGCTTGGGTGGAAGGAGGCGGTTGGAAAGCCAGACATGGCAGGCGGGGGGTTAAATCCGGAGTCCGGGGGGTTAAAATGGGGTTTTAGCGGACCGAAGAAACTATCTCAAAACCAAGATTCGGAGGTCCTTGGGTGGCGGGGCTACGTTGGGGGATTCATCCCCCAAACCCCCGATCCAACTATCTCAAGATTGAGTGATGGCCGCTTCAAGTTTTGAGATAGTTTCTTAAGAGTTCGCACTAGCCGAACTGGTCTCATGCCGACGGTTGAAATTGGCCGACGCTAATACCTCACAATAACCGCACAAATAGTGGAGCTTGGTGAGTCTCCGGGAAGGCACATCCTTCACGCCGACCTGGACGCTTCCTACGCGGCAGTGGAGCAGTTGGACAATCCCGACCTGCGGGGGAAGCCGGTCCTGGTCGGGGGGACGTCCGGAAGGCAGAGGAGTGGTGGCCACGGCTTCGTACGAAGCCCGCGTGTTCGGCGTCCATTCGGCAATGCCCATGAAAACGCGGTCCGATTGTGCCCGCAGGGGATAATCGTGCGTCCCCGCTTTCAGCGGTACCGGGAGCTGTCCAAGCAGGTCATGGACATTTTCCGCAGCTTCACTCCGCTGGTTGAACCACTGTCCCTGGACGAGGCATACCTCGATATCACAGAGCGAGTGCAAGCTGACAACCGGGCGCCGCTGCGGTGGGCCCTGCGCCTGAAAAGCCAGGTCAGCCTGGAGACGGGGTTGACTGTGTCGGTAGGCGCCGCCACCAGCAAGTCGGTGGCTAAAATAGCTTCAGACATCCGCAAGCCCGACGGCCTGGTGGTGGTAGAACCGGGGGACGAGCGGGCGTTTCTGGAACCGCTGGGCCGTGATAGATATGGGGTACTGGCCAAAGACGCGGAGAAGCTCGGCGGGAGTGGGCGGGATAGAAACGTTGGGCAGTTGGCCCAGCAAACCAAGGAGTGGCACACCCGACAGTTCGGCAAATCGGCGTCCGCATCCAGGCCAAGGCCCTGGGTCAGGACCGGGACGAAGTAAGAACCGAGAGGGAAGCCAAGTCGGTAAGCTCGGAAAACCCGTTCTCCGTTGACCTCACGGACCCCGAGGAACTGAACAGGAATGGAAAAACTGGCTTCCGGAGTGGCTCTCCATCTGCAGCGCAAAACGTTGACCGGCAGGACGGTGACCGTTAAGGCCCGGCTGGCGGACTTCACCACTTTCACCCGGCAGACGACCCTGCCCGAGCCCACCGGCGACGAGGCCACGGATAAGGGGACCGCCTGGGGGGCTGCTGTCCCAGGAGTTGCAGGAGGGACGCAGTTTCCGGTTGTTGGGAGTCGGGGTTTCCGGGTTCTATCAGCCCGACCGGCAACCCAACGAGCAGCCACCGTTCCAGTCTCGCTGCCGGACCTTTAGCAAGGGGTTGAAAAGTCGATGTGTCGTTATTGGTCTTTGGTCGGAACTGGCTATGAGCAAGGCATGGCCATTTTCGGGCGCTCCGCCCGAAATGCAGGGCATCGATTGAGCCAGCGAGCCGTACCGTTCCCCAATTCATTGATAGCTTGAAGCCGAAGTAGCTGCCGACCCAGGCACCCACCAGATTGCGGAAGAACCAGGAAGAACCATATTCGAAAGCCAACTCTAGGCAAACAGGAGGTTAACCCTCACCATGAATAGCGATAAGTTTGGAGACTCTTACGACATCGTAAAGCAGAGCATCCTGCAGTGGCTCTCTGATTGCGGCACATGGTCCGTTCATCCGATGTTTACCGATAAGGACCCTACGTCGTATGCGCAGGAATATCGCCGTTTTCTGGGCGTGGGCATAGTTACCACCGAATCCTTCAGGAAATATCGCGGGACCGTTGGGTAGCGGCAGGCAATGATTGCGAAGACCACCTATTTCTCGACCCGGACACCGGACTCCGGTTGGACAAACCGAAGAGAGACATCAATAAGTATCTATTGGTCGGCGAACTGGTAACCCTTGCGAAAGCTCGTCCAAAGAAGCTAACCCTGGTATTTGACCAAAGTATCGACCGTCGCAGGAAAAGTCTGGGCACTACGAGGGTACAGGGGACCAGGAAAAACTCAAGCGACTCGAGAGCCGGGGTGTTCATGGGTTAGCTTACAGGTCCCACGCCAATTTCATCTTGGTATCCTGCGACCAGGACGTTTTGAGAGACGCCAAATCCACTCTCATAAATTCGTCGCAGCTTCCTCTTGACCGCTTTGTTGAGTTATAGAAGCGGGTTGAAAATCGGAGTGGTGTCATAGGCTTGGGCCGGGATTTGGCACCCCCGGAGCGAAGGTTCCTCATGCGAAGCAAAGGCAGCGGGGCTGGCCCGGATGCCTACCGGAACATGTCCTTTTCGGGGTCTCGCACCAGGCTTGAACGGTTGCGTTCTTCATTGGGTTATATGCGTATCCGAGGTATTGCCGCGGGGCTCCAAGCACTTTGCCTTTACGAGTTCCGACGTGGCGGCCAGCTCGTCGGCCACTGCAATGACGGTTGTGTTGCATCATGTTGCCGTGGGCGTCTCCTGTCCCACGTAGCTGAGCAGCGGGTTGATTCCCGCCACCCCGATGGCCACATTTGCCGCGGCGTTGCGCCAGGGCCGCCCAAACGTGTCGGAGACAATCACTGCGACATCAGCGCCGGTCATTTCCTTGACGATTTGACGGATGCCGCGGGCCGAGGCGTCGGAGTCTACCGGCAGCAGGCAAACGGGTTTTGCGCCGAGGGATGTTGGAGCATGATCACAGCGTTGCGCAGTTGATCCTTGGTGGGTGGCTCCGGATTGACGGCTCCCCGGTCCATGCGAACAATCCGGCGGCTTTCCCGCAGGATCATCTCAGTGTGCCGGGGGGCGCGCGTGACCATCGGAGATTGCATGGCCAGGGGATGCTCGAGTCCTTGCAGCTGATTACCGGCCTTCGCATTGGACACGATTTCTGTGTTACCCCAGCAAGTCGCCGATTCGAAGGGCGACCCCTGGGCCGAGGCGGCATCCACCAGCATGGCCCACAGGGGGTCTCCACTGTCAATCTCCGGCATACCATGTACACCGATTACGCGAACTTCCGGCGGCATATTCTCTACCTCTTATGTGGCTCAGGGTTTTCTCGTTGTCATTGAATTCCCACGTCATTTCGCCGCATCGGGAATCCAGACCCGGTTGGCGAGCAGGATGTTGGCGGCAGCGGACGCTTTCCGGCTTTGCGCGAGCTTGGTCACCCATAATGATTTCCTGGATTCCCGCTGCGGCGAGAATGACGGGGGCGGGATCCACTCTCGCATCAGTGGCATACCCGGGGCATCTGGATTCCCGCTGCGGCGAGAATGACGGGGGTGGGGTCCACTACTCGCCTTAATGGCATAACCTGGGCTCTGGATTCCCGCTGCGGCGAGAATGACGGGGCGGGGGCTCTTGCGACAATGGCATCATCGGGGCTCTGGATTCCCGCTGCGGCGACAACCAATGACGGGGTGTGGGGGCCGCTCTTGCGACAATGGCGGGGGGACAGGGTAAAAAAGACTCTCGTGTTGCCGAGCTAGTAGTCCGAAATTTTTGGAACGATGAGTGACTGAGATTGGCGTGGACTCCCCCGGGGTCTTTCATTCAATAGTTCCTCTCCCAGACGGGAGAGGGTTTTAGAGCCTGCCCTACGAAGGCAGGGAGTGAGGGAGTTCATCCCATCAGATCCATGTGTGGACTACGAGTATAGTCCTACAAATTGGCCTATGCTAGAATGCGGCTGAGCCGAACCACACCCGAGCAAGGAAAACCTCGTGCGTGACTTACTTCATCCTCTGTCTACCGAAAGCAGGTCTATACACCGCCCAAGTTTGGCTGAGATAGCGAAACCAGCCTCCTGTACGGCGGGAGGGTGTCCAAGAACAACCCTCAGCACGACGATGGCTATGGCATATCAACTGACGAGTACGGACGGGGCGGCAGTCCCATGTCGCGTCTATGGGGTTGGCGCTTAGTCTCGCCAACTAAGTACCGACGATTCCCCATAGGTGAATGAAGACAGATGAACGATCTATTCTGCTGGCGAGCAGAGCCTTGCAGTCGGGACTGTTCATGGTCGCGGCTTTCGCGATATAACTGCAACCGACCCGGACAATGGCTACACGAGACATTTCAAGGAGCACTTCACGCCGGTGACCGAGGACATGGTAGAAAGCCTGGAAACTACCATAGACTCGCTGGAAGAAGAATTCCAGATGCCCACGGTTTTGTCCTCCGGAGGAGGTATCGGAGCGTCGGCGACGCGACTCGACATGGGAAGCGCCGGGAGCCATCATCAGGACAGCGGAACGGAACGGCCGATAGTGGCGCGCTGGAGCGAGGCCGCGAGCTGGCCAACGGGCTTATCACCGCCTACCTGAACCGTTTGGGCGACCTGCTGTTTGTCCTAGCCCGGTACCAGGACCGGCACCTTCCCTGATCGAACGCGGCCAACAGGCGAACGACCTGTGAGCCTTCATGGGTTACTGTGTCTTAATGGTGTCGTTCCGCGCCAATATATTCGATCGTCATCGACTACTATGCAGTGGAACCTGCGCAGCGTCGCCAAGGCGCTGGTTATGTCGGTGGGCGTCGTAAAGTACACACACTTGTCGTCCGTAACCGTAGACGACCCCTGGTGAACGCTGACCCTGTCTGCGTGTGCGACATGCGAGACGGCGCGATTCTACCGAGACGTCGGTTCACTGCCCCAGGCCATGTCGGCACTGGAATCACGCAAAATCGCTGGTAGAGCGCAATCTATATGACTTTCTACTGGCCACGGCATGTGCCGTTCCTGGGAGTCTGCCTGGGGCTACAGCTTGTAGTGGCCCGCACCTGAGGAGGGTCGAGCGCCCATGTTGGGATATCAGTGCCCGGATACCGTGTGAGAAGCGCGTTTCAACCGAGGCTCTCGGAGAGTCGTACCTGGAAGTCGGGCGTTTATTGCCCACAGTGTGCTGGAAAGGCGTGGACATCCGCACACGCCGACACCCCTTGCTGGAGAGGCATGGCCCGTCCAGCCAGTTCTACTTCGTTCACAGCTACTATGCGGCCCCCGACCAGGCCGAGAACGTAGCGGGGGCCACCGACTACGGTGTGACTTTCTGCAGCATCCTGGCTCGGTGGACATACTGCTGGTCCACTCCCGTTTGCACCCATGAGAGGAAGAGCGGGCGGTTGGTTGCGCATCTACGAGAAACTTCGTGCGCCCTGGCCGGAGTTAATGAAGTCGTCCCGGTTGGGGAATTCCACCCTAGCCGCCGCACGAACGACGAGCGACACGACTAGCGGCGGCGCATCACGTCCGGGCAGGGTCACGCGATCTGCCAGTTGGCCGCTACCTATGGAAGTCAACTCGTCCATGACACTCGAGAGCGGGCGTTGCGTGCGCGTCTACTCAGGGGAGTTCGAGCCAGGAAACCGTGTATTCCGACGATTCCCTCCCCTGTCTGGTGGCGACTGATAAACTATCAGGCCCAGCCCCCGCTACACCTGAGTTGACGACGAGCGCGGCCCAGGAGGCCAGTCAACACGGGACAATGGATCTCGGAGACTCATGCGGGCATTGTCCATACCCGTCCAGACAGTGGCGTGGGCGGCATCGGGACTGTTCCACCGCCGCGGCGCACTTGATTGACGGGGGCGCCGACCGGGTGGTTATCGGCACCGCCGCCGTGGAGAATCCGGACCTGGCAAACAGGGAGAATCTAACTCCGGTTTGGCAACGAGCGGGTCGTGGTGTGGCGTGGATCGCCAGGGACGGAAAGGTCTGGTCTTCTAATTTTCTGACGCGTGGATGGATCCGATAACCACGATGCATGGACACGTGCTGGATCCTGGCTACACGCTGATTGGCCCAACTGTGGCGTCTTTTCGTCGCCTGAGCTCTACACTAGACAGCACAGGGACGGCACCCTGACCGAACCCAACTACGCGGGCAAACGCAACTGGTGGTGGAACAATTGAGATGGCCGTCAAGGCTTCCGGCGGAATCGCCTCGGTGGCCCACATTTTGAA